AAACTCGCACTCATTAAAGACACCTTACAAGAAAATGGTTTCCCGATAAGTTCATCAATAAGTGTATGGAGGTACGTCCACCAAGATCGGAAGTGCCGACGGCTGAGAAGAAAACCTCAGTTCTTACATTGCCTTTTCAAGGTGATCCAGCAAGCGAACTTCTACAGCTTCGTCTGAACACTGCAATCGCGCGTACGTATCCAGCAGCTAAGTTAAGATTAGTGTTCTCAAGCACTCCACTTCTTCGCCTCGAAGGTAAGGATAGACTGCCGTTCCAGACCACATCTGGGCTATAACAACATCAATGTGTATTTACAACTTTACGTGCTCCTGTGGGGCAGGTTACATTGGTCGAACGATTAGGCGTCTATCCAAGCACATGCGAGAACACCACCCTGCGTGGCTAAACAGAGGCGAAACAAAGTCGATATCAAGCGCCATTCTGGCTTACTTGGTAGACAGTGGTCATCGGGCAGACGTCAACCAAACATTTAGAGTAGTCTATAAAGTGCCGGCTAAACACTCTAAGTTCCTGCGTCAGCGGATACTTGCGACGACAGAAGCAGTCGCCATACGCCTCTCAAACCCAATTTTATTTGCACAGAAAGAATTTGTAGCGGCCCTAAGGCTCCCGTGGCCAAAGGCCATTTCAACATCCGCCTTCACGCCTCTTACCACGCCGCGGAACAGTGATGAGACTGCGTCATCAAGCATCCAAAGGCCACCGACGCCGTCACAAGACGTTGACACCTTGCGTCCTCACACCTCCCAACAAAACTCGAGACGAGGACCAAGGGACGACATTAACTAATTGTCGGACTCCTTCCCCTTCCTCCCCTCCCCCACCCCCATTTCTCTGGTCCCCATTTAAGACTGGAATCTGATCCCCTTGATCCCTTTACACCTCTATCCCCTTCTTCCCCCCTTTTACTACTGATTGGTTTGCCTAAAACTTTCGTTAATTCCACCCTCCCTTACATTACTGTATTGTCTGATGATGAATTAATCGAAAACGTTCGTCCACCTAACTTGACTTCCTTAAGACATTAAAATCTGTGCCATGTTAATTTTAAACGCATGCAGGACCTGGAGAATTTTCCCGAGGGCGACGCCGTCGAAGTGGGTGAACAAGGTGTGGCCCTCAGTGGCGGACAAAAGGCGCGCATTTCTCTCGCCCGCCTGGCCTACACACAAGCGAAGCTGGTTCTTCTGGACGATCCCCTGGCTGCTGTTGATCCCCAGGTTGCCAACGAAATCTTTGAAAACTGCATTTGTGCATACATGTCTGACAGACAGCGCATTCTTGTGACAAATCAGCACCATCTTCTGCCAAAAATGGATCTTATTGTGGTCATGCAGGAGGTACATCACTTATTTTGGACAAAACGTTTTGCGGTTGAAGTTAATTATAGCAATCCCTTCCCCAAAAAATCGAAACCGAGTACACTAATCTCACTGGACTAGGGGAGGGGTGAAAATTACCCCCCAAAAAATTAGACAGTCGCTATGACACTCTTCGCATTTAAGTTCTGAAAGCCCCGCAATTAGAAGACCGCACAAATTAGTAGATACAAGATACGGAAAGACTTACAAAAATTAATCAAAAAGACAAACGTTGACAAAAAAGTGTTAATCAATGGCTGATTTTGATAATGCTTGAACGCACATAGCTTATAACCTAAGTGTAATATAACCTGTAAAATAAGACAGGTTCTTAAAACGTAAATTATCAGCTAAGATATGAGACTAAACCCGTATAACTAATGCGAACAGTCGTACAAAAGGAGCACCTATACGCCACTGCGTATGAAGTTGCTAATAAATACAAAACAAAAAAGTGAATAATGGCAAATTCCGAGGTCATTTATTTCCGTTAGCTTGGAGCTGAAATCCGGATAACAGACATAGACAGAAGTTTGAGGTTGAATGCGTTCTTCGCGAAATAGAATTTGATTTCCTGAATTTTCGAAGCTGAAAACCCGACTTCGTCTTCACGAAATAAAATTCTGTTTCCCGAAGAACCTATTCAACCTCAAACTATATTACTTGGGATGCCTACATTTCAACATCTAGACATAAGTGTTAGGGCTATATTGGGTAAAAGATCACGTAACTTAAATTAATACAACGTCTGAGAACTTCATTCAAAGGAAGCCAGCAATTATTATTTTAACAGACCAAACGCGAAAATTGCCCCAGCAAAAGACTTTGACCTCATAGTGCACGTACTCATTTCAACCGCAATTTCATCATCGATTAAAGTGAAAGCGAACTTTAAAATGCAACTTGGAAAGTATAATTTTCCAGTTTTTGGTAGTGGTTTAGCGAAGAGTCTACGAGGAAGCTATTTCTTCGCCTACTTATAATTTATAAATTCTAATGTACCTCACGCCTTGCTTACAAATGCCAAAAGTTATGTGCGCAATCCTGACTGCAAAATATAAATGAG